ACAGGGAATTGATAGATGAAATATGCATGAGTTAAGGGATGAAATAAAACAATGAAAATCTAAATTATTGATTTTATGTAGTTTTCTCTTAGAAGAAAATAATTGTAAATGCATGAAATAAAGCAAAGAGAATTAGATAGAAAATTTTGTTTCTTTGATGAAATATTTTCTCAAACTGAATTCTTTATGCAGGGAATTAGTAGATAAAGTGCACATGAGTTAAGGGATGAAACGAGACAAATGAAATTTAAAAAATAGATGTTTTAAATCAAAATGTTATTTCGAAATTTGTGTACTTTTTTGGGATTAAATAATGTACCAAACTGAGGTATCTTTACAGGGAATTGATAGATGAAATATGCATGAGTTAAGGGATGAAATAAAACAATAAAAATCTAAATTATTGATTTTATGTGCTTTTTCTAATTTCTGGTAGAAGAAATCAATTGTAAAGCAAAGAGAATTTAGATAAAAAATTTTGTTTCTTTGATGAAATTAGTAGATAAAGTGTACATGAGTTAAGGGATGAAATGAGACAACTGAAATTAAAAAAAATAGATGTTTTAAATCAAAATGTTATTTCGAAATTTGTGTACTTTTTTTGGGATTAAATAATGTACCAAACTGAGGTATCTTTACAGGGAATTCATAGTTGAAATATGCATGAGTTAAGGGATGAAATAAAACGGGAATGTAGAAAATAAATAGTATGTATTTTTTTTTGTATTGTTGAGATGGGATTAAATAATGTTCCAAACCGAGGAGTGACACGTTGGATAGAGTTCGGTGCAGTTGTGTATCCTGTTCGAGGCTTTATCGTATTCGTCCTCATCCTCGTGGTCCTCGTGTGGCTTAGCTCTGTAAAAGAGAAGAGAAAAGAGAAAAAAAAAGTAGTGATATTGATTCCGTTCTTCTCTTCTTTTTGCAACTACCTGAATATGACTTTGACGATCTCCTCGAGGAAAGTGCCTTTGTCAGGAGGAGCTTGGTTGACTTCGCACACCGACTTCAGCAAACAGGCGCGGCCATCCTTGCTTTGTCTGCAAACAATCGCAACTATGTTTACACTGCCAACTTCCTTCCTCCCTTTATTATATGTATAAAAGTGCGCCCTCGAAGGGCGACGAGAGCTTGTAACGTAACTAAGTACTCACGCTTGGAAAAACTTCTCGATCTTCGAATAGAGATCTCTGCGCGTCCTCCGATGGATGTGGTGGTATGACGGATTCGAGTAGTAGTTTGTGGGATCCGAATAATCGGTCTTAGGATAAACGGGTTTCCTGTAGATCGTCTTCCTGTTAATCGAAGACTTGTAAGGAGACATGTTGAGCGTGTTGTATTTGCTGTACGTGGGTATCGTCTGGTATTTACTCAATTCTGGGTACGAATTGAAGTAGTAAGCTGGACGACTCGATATCTTGTAGTTGGGTGAGTTGTAGCTTTCCTTGTACTTTATAGGCGTGGGGCTTAGTTTCTCTTTGAATATAGGCTTCACGACATCCTTACGATTCGAAATCACGTTCACTATTTTCCCTGGTTTCCTTATAAGCATATGAGGATCTGAGGGTAATTCCCAGGCCAAAGCCGCCGTCCAGCCGATTGTGAAGATTGTAGCATATCCAATTATAGGAGTTGTCAAGCAAAAGACTATTAAATAGACTATTTATAAAATAAAGTTGTTGCATCCACGATAATACTGACCTAATTGTAAGGAACTTCCCTCTGGAAACACCAGATACCTCTTCCTCCTAGACAACTTAACGTTGCTCCCATTTCTAGCTGCTCCATCACCAACAACCGCCGATACCAAAAGCGCGAAGATTAAACTTTTAATCAACATTTTCGGTCGCAACGGCACAAGCAAATGATGGTGATAGGTCGGCAATCAATACGAAAAACGCGTTAATTATTTACCGTTCACGCCGAACGGTTCATCGCAACGTCAAATATTTACTCTTCCCTTCGCGACATCGAGACGCAAATAAAGAGAGATGTCGGCAATAAAAACAAGGACACGGCAGAAGGGAACGAACACAACAGTAGAAGAAAAAAATATATATCCGAGTAATGTAGTTTTCTCTTCCTTTATTTTTCCCTCCTCCGGGCTCGGATAATGTCCGGGAGAAGACAATTTCGGGTTATTGCTCGAAATGAGTTTTTCCCGATGATTTATGGCACAATAAACTTCTGCGAGTCTCCGCATCTTAGCGAAATGATAAGATATTTATCGATTTTTCTAACCCCGGCGCTGAAAAACAATGCTGATTCGAAGGCGTCACAGGTTCTTCTTTAATTCTGTATTGACACAACCTCTTAGCTGCGGTCCTCATTGTCACTCGCTTCGCTAAATACCCGAAGACCGTCTGCTTTATACCTATTCCAATTAACATCATGCAAGGTGTACCTCTCGTTCTTCTGCTGCTTCTATTCGCGTTCACTCACACGTCTTCGGCCGATGGAGAAATCTTGTCCAGGAGGAAAAGGCATCTCGCCTTCCCAGAAGGATCCACCCTATCGGTGAGTTATAAGTAAAAATGATTCGGTGTAAACGGAAATTAAATTCATCTTCTATATCCTGTATCAGATCGCGCTGTGTTTGCAGGCGCAGATGACGATGAGGCCTTCGGAAATTTGGACTTACGCGATGAACTGGGGCATCTCTTACGATTTACCGAACATCACCTCGACGCTGGATTACTTGAAGCCGTATTACATGATAAAGCGCCGCAACCGAAGGGATCTTTATCAGAAAATGGAAACGATAATGAATTCGTAATACCATCAAACGGGGGGCTGTAAAAAAACAATCGTGTTATCGTTGCTTTTCCTTTGTTTTCAGGATGGGATATAATGGGAAAGGTTGCATCTACAAGGCTCTGTGCGAGACGGGAAGCCTGTTCAAGAGGAAGGGCACAGTTCTTGAAGAGATTTTCAAAACTCTATTCAGGTATAATGATTAATTTTGATATCAAATTATAGAATTTAATTATCCATTTTCTTGTAGGTTCCCGTTGCAGAAGATTATGGATTCAGAACCCGAAGACCATAAGCATTACCAATGGGCGTATCAAGTGGGATTGCGCGAAGGATCGGACGGATGCTGGGAGAATTTCAACGGATGTTCCTTCTCGATCCTCGATTTGGCCCTTGGAGGATTCACGAACTATGCCCCGCCGTTCATCAAGAACCTATCGTAGCTTCGAACCATAAAAAACGAAACAAAAATGTACATGCCAAAGAAATAAAACTTATTTTTATTTATATTTTTTGCAAACTTATAGTTTATAAACCGGAGAATGTGACAAGATGAGAGAAATATATGGACTGCGCTCACGCTGAATATGGTAACGTATATAAATGTACCTGAAATGTGCTGTATTTCTGCTGTTGCTCGCTTCCATTTCAATAAATCATTGCGAAAATATTCGTCGTGTGTGCTATTTTTATTAAAGTTTTTTTTCTATATTTTGTTACTCTTCTCTTTATTTCTCTTCGTTTTTTTTTTGTTAGGGTTGAAGGAGAGAAAGAATATCAGACGAGTGCATCGCAAAACTAGCGCAAAAGTTCCGTTTCACTTATTTAACCGAGAACTTTCATTATTGACTCGCGGCTCCTACACCCACGCGCCAACTTTTCTTATTATATTACTTAATAGCCGTTATTACGTAAAGTTCAGTTGTTCGCAACTTGCATAAACTGCCGTGCTAGATTATTAACTCATCCCGATCGATGCTCTGCATTTACTTAATGTTTACACAGGATTCTGCATCAGCTGAAGCTTAAAATCATATTCAATCATATCCTTATTTAACTCTAAATTCTCTTATAAATAAGTAATAAATAAAATTAATTATAAGTTTTAAATTGACAAAATAATATAAAAAAAATTCAATGTTGTTATTTTGTCTAAATCTTGGTGGTAATACTTAGTTAATTTAGTAAAAAATTTCTATCAGAAAAATGTATAAAAATATTATGACTCTCGCTAAAATGCGATATCTGCGATATAATTTGCCGAAGTGATAAAGTTTTATGTAGCTAAAGAAACGTGGAGAAAATTGCTTTGGGAAGGGTTGTAAAAATTGATGGACTCGACACTGCATCATATCCTTATGAATTTCAAGGGAGATTTCCTTTCTCTGCCGTAAATTATAACCCAAATTACATGTCGATACAAAATAAGTTATGGAATAAAAAAAAATAATCAAGTTACAACAGTTGTTAACTGTCAGGTTGTTCATTGCTACCGTTGCTAGGTTACGGATGTCTATAAGTCTTTGAATACATAGGAACCATAGTTTATAATCATGAAGATTCTTAAGAAAACTTTTAAAAGTTTATAGTAAATAATAATTTAGTTTTTATATCAATTATAGCAAAATTTAGTTCAAAGATGCGTCCACACTCAGCGTGACATGAGACACATGGTCACTTTTGTTGTCTTTTATGAAAAGATGAAATTCCTGAAACATGATGATTTTAATGATATAGCAATACTTGAAATTAAAAAAAGTTTGATTAATTTTATATATCTTTTGGAGCATGAGAGATAAACTTCGGTAGATTGATGAAATTACTTTAATTCAATTTTGTCGGTGCAGGCAGAGCACTTAAAACTAATTCTCTATTCAAAAAAGCGGAGGGAAATTTCCGAATCTTGCTTAATTAAATTTTCTTAATGAAGCCGTTACAGCTGTAACGGCGGCGGCCGTGTTTACCCGAGCAATTATCACGGGCCTTTTGTTTCGAATCCACCGTATAACAATACTTGTGGAATGGCAGTGAGGGAAGACGGAGGAGTTCTATTTCCCTTTTGAGACGCAATGGAGACGCATATCTTCGTCCTGGTGCTGCTATTAGGTCTCTTTATGTCGCATATAAATTTCGCGGATTCCAAGGATGACGACGCTAAGTTATCCCGACGGAAGAGATACGTCGCCTTCCCAGAAGGCTCCAGCTTGTCTGTAAGTAAATAGAAGAAAGAGGAGCGAACAAAGTGGGTGATGGAGACGGAGGAAGAGGTTTTCGTGAACTTTTATGCGATACAAATTGAAATTCCCGATGGTGAGGGAGGAAAGGTTTTTTATTTTTTTTCACAAGAAGGGAACTACTAATTTATAGGCGGCAGTTTGCTTAACGGTATCCATGATATTCCATCGACCGGACATTTACACGCAGGGATTGAACTGGGGCATCGCCTACGATCTGCCCAACGGCACCACGGCTTTAAACGACTTCGAGAACTTCGGACCGAAGCACGTGAACAGGAGGAGGCATCGCAGGGATCTCTACCACAGGATGGAGCTGGTCATGGACTCGTATAAACAAACAATACATTAACCCTCTATGTTTCATCAAATAAATTACTTTCAGGATGGGCGTGGACGGGAGGAGTTGCATCCTGAGGGCTCTGTGCGATACGGCCCATTTGTTCAGAGGGGAACAGGACAACATTTTCAAGAAGATTCTCAAGATCATCTTCAAGTTCCCTCTGCAGACAATCCTACCATATGAACCGGAAGATCACAAGGCTTATCACGAGGCGCACAAAGATGGAATGGACAAATCCGAAGAGCATTGCGCCAAAAACTACCCCAACTGTCCAATTTCTCTGATCGACTTAGGCTTAGGATATTACACAGATTATATAACACCTTCAACATTGTAAACACACAAATAAAACATAATTTCATGAAATCATTTTATTGTATAATTGACCAATTTACGAATTATTGAATTTATTTAATTAATTTAATTAAACCGAATTACTAAATTAATTTGTTTTGATTGATTTTAACTAATTTCATGTATCACGAACGTTCAAAATTTGCAGAAAACTTTACTTAATTACATCAATATCACTGTTATCAGGATGTAATCAATTTAATTTGGGGAATTGAAAACGGCTGTCGTTTCGCGTTTTGATCGAGGAATGTTTTCGGGAAGTTGTATTGAATCAGAAATTGGGGGGTGGTTTGTCCCGTCTAGACACGATGAGCATACATCGCTGGATGCGAAGGGTATTCGCAAATATAATTAAATTAACTCCGGCTGAGTGTTATTCCGTGAAAGTAAGTGTGCGATACATTATAGATCTGTCGATGTTCGTATATTAATAGGAATCGCAAATGAAGCTTCTCATATTATATTCATTCATTAAAATTCCATTCATTAATTGTTACTGTAAATTATCCGAAACATAATTTCATTAACATGACTATATTAGATATATAATTGCTGTTATTCCATGAGGAATTTCATAATTTTTCAGAATATTTATCATGTTTCAGGTATTTCATCTTTTTCTAAAAAGCAACAAAAATTATCTTGTTTGATAGTTGGTACACTTGTCTGATATTTGACAATACTATATTTTATGTAATTATCATGTGTGACAATTCGTACACTTGACAGATGTTTATGTCTCATGTCACGCAATATTATTCATTTATTAAAATTGCGTTCATTGATTATTAGTGTAAATTATCCGAAACATAATTACAATCAAAGTATTAATTTACATGACTATATTCATGAATGGTATTCCTTTGGGGATTTCATAATTTTTCAGAATTTTCATGTTTCAGGAATTTCATCTATTTCTAAACGGAAATAAAAGTGACAAAATTATATTTTATGTAATTATCATGTGTCACAGTTCGTACACTTGACAGTGTCTCATGTCTCATGTCACGCAATATTATTCATTCATTAAAATTGCCTTCATTGATTATTAGTGTAAATTATCCAATACATAATTACAATCAAAATATTAATTTACATGACTATGTTCCATGAGTGGTATTCCTTTGGGGATTTCATAACTTTTCAGAATTTTCATCATGTTTCAGGAATTTCGTCTTTTTCTAAAAGGCAACAAAAGTGACAATACTATATTTTATTTAATTATCATGTGTCACAGTTCATACACTTGACTGATGTTTATGTCTCATGTCACGCAACTTTATTAATTCATTAAAATTGCCTTCATTGCTTAATAGTGTAAATTATCTGAAACATAATTACAGTCAAAGTATTAATTTATATGACTATGATCCATAAGTAGTATTCCTTTGGGGATTTCATAATTTTTCAGAATTTTCATCATGTTTCAGGTATTTCATCTTTTCCTAAAAAGCAATAAAAATGATCTTGTTTGATAGTTGGTACACTTGTCTTATATTTATGTCTCATGTCACGCAATATTATTCATTCATTAAAATTACCTTCATTGATTATTAGTGTAAATTATCCGAAACATAATTACAATCAAAGTATTGATTTACAGGACTATATTCATGAATGGTATTCCTTTGGGGATTTCATAATTTTTCTGAATTTTCATCATGTTTCAGGAATTTCATTTTTTACTAAAAGGTAACAAAAGTGACAATACTATATTTTATGTAATTATCATGTGTGACAGTTCGTACACTTGACAGATGTTTATGTCTCATGTCACGCAATATTATCCATTCATTAAAATTGCCTTCATTGATTATTAGTGTAAATTATCCAATACATAATTACAATCAAAATATTAATTTACATGACTATGTTCCATGAGTGGTATTCCTTTGGGGATTTCATAATTTTTCAGAATTTTCATCATGTTTCACGAATTTCATCTTCTTCTAAAAGGTAACAAAAGTGACAATACTATATTTTATGTAATTATCATGTGTGACAGTTCGTACACTTGACTAATGTTTATGTCCCATGTCACGCAATATTATTCATTCATTAAAATTGCCTTCATTGATTAGTGTAAATTATCCGAAACATAATTACAATCAAAGTATTAATTTACATGACTATATTCCATGACTGGTATTCCTTTGGGGATTTCATAATTTTTCAGAATTTTCCTCATGTTTCAGGTATTTCATATTTTCCTAAAAAGCAACAAAAATGACAACAAGTCTCAATAATTTGTTTTAATCTGGAAAAAAACTAGTCCAGTTTTTTGTATGTGTAAAGAAACAGTAGTAAGTTAAATAAAGTAAAAAAAAAAACGCCGTTGGAAGTTTGTTTGCTTTGGCCGTTAGCGCTTTTTACCTAATCCATTTTTAACTGGACCGTCGCATTTCAACGGCACATCTCTCGACGAAACAAACAAGTTCCAAAGGTACGAGACCCTAACGGTAGCTCTTCCCTCCATTATTTATTTCCTTTCGCTGCGACGCTCGAATGACAAAAATTCCGACGGATCTCCTCTGTTACGTAACCACGTAACAGACGTTTCCAATCACTGCCATCAATAAATGATGATGCCTGCAGTGAGTTAGATGAATGGAACAAACAAAATGCTTACTTTATCCTGTGATTTACTTAAATCGAAGAAACACTTTATAAGTTTACTCTTTATTTATAGCCTATGAAGATAAGTAAATGATTGCCTATTGCATTTACTAGCGTATGATTAAATAAAATATTTGAAATTTGTTTAAGTAATATTTGATTTCGATAATATGTAAGATTATATAACAAATGTGTCTAGAAATAGGTTATTTCCATTAAATTAGGTTAGAAAAAGTTAGGTTAGGTTCAATCAAGAAAACAATGAGTTTATCTTCAAGAAAAGTACAAAATATGAAACGTGGAAGAGAAAGTTATTAAAAGAAAACTTTACTAACTTTCTCTTTAAAAATGGGTTAGGTTTAGGTAAGCTTACATTGGTGTAGGTGATGACTGAATTATTAAATTTGTAAGGAATCGTTAAACTTAACATGATATATACAGTGAATGAAAGAAAGATAATCCTCTTTAATCATGTTGAAATGAGTATGTGTGGATTACGTTTTACGATCAGTAAAAGACCAGTGGAGAGAAACTGTCTGAGGAAAACTTAATGAATTTCAGCGGAAAAGCGCATGAAAGAGGATTTAACGGCTCGTTAACGGTGGCGCTAATTCTGAAGACAACGATTTTTATTAATAACAATCTTAATGATGTCATAATCCTTGCGAAGAGCGAAAGATGGAACGGGACAAATAAATCATGCCGTTTTCATTTAGAAAGAAAAACGCTGCATCATCCTTCTTTCCTTCGATGCAGAACTCAAAAAAAAGAAGAAACGTTCATTTGCGATGGTAATGAAATAATGGGATTGGAAAATATCGCGTCTCTTCTCCTCTTTGTAATGTTCAGGTGTATATTATTTTCCTTGTTCGAAAGGTACTTGGGATGCGCGTTTGAAGTGCGATCTCATTACACGATCTCGCTTCCGGACATTTTCCTTGACTTTTCCCTCATCTCTCCTTCTCTTTTTTTTTTCATCCTACCTCCCCCTTTCTTGGAAAGCTCGTGCTAGGCTCGTGCCTTTGTTGGTGCTTTCCGAGGAGCTGTAAATAAAAATTATGCCGGAAGCGAGCAATTGATTCTTCCTAGATACAAGGATGGACGATCCATCAATGTCTGTGTACTGTGTTAAGCTGTTTCTTCACGTTCTTAGTTTGGAATTGTTTATGGGGGAGGAGAATTGCGATGATAGTATTGAATTACAAGTTTATTTTTATCCTTGGAGAAGAAATGAATTATAAAGATTTGATACATAACTGAAATTGATAGATTTAATTACTTTTGTATTTGATGTTGTACAATTCAAAAAAAATCTATAATTTTAAGTGAATTTCTTGGAGCTTTCATTAATATAAAGTATTATTTATATGTCCGAAGTTTTGAATTAATTTTGATATGATTGTATCTGTTAGAAACTTGGTGAGTTTTAATGAAATGAAAGGTATAGTTTTTAAAAACTAAAACTAATTAAGCTTTTCTCGAACATGATATCATATAGATTAAAATACTAAATGTTAAAATTGTTATTTGCAAATATAGACATTTGCATGCTGAAGCTAATGCATATAATAAATTTTGACTTCTTTCTAATCCCACAATGTGCTACAAGTTCTTTCGTCTTCAATTCTTAAATTATGTTACAAACCATTTGACAAATATTCATAAATAGTTGGTTGCAATAATCAGCTGTTAACTTATCATCAGTAAATGTTAAAATTTCAATAACATTATAATCCATCATATTAGACATATTTGTTATATATGTTCTACATTGTAGGTGTGTGCAAGATTCAAGTTCTTGGTAGTTTTGGTACTTAATCTCTATAAAGGACTTGAGTGATGTTATCTAATCCTTGATTTATTTGTGTTGTGTTTTCTTTAGTATATCCAAACTTTGATGATCTGGAATAAAAATCATGTCCACGTATTCATCCTTTGATTGGAGGCAATTGAGGATGGTTGAGTTTTTATGATAGTTCTTGTTTTTAAATAGAGTAAGCTTTAATGCTGAAGCTAATGCACATAATAAATGTAAGTCTAAATCCAATTGGACTTCTTTCTAATCCCACAATGCGCTACAAGATCTTTCGTTTTCATTTCTTGAATTATGTTACAAACCATTTGACAAATATTCATAAATAATTGGTTGCAATAATTAGCTGTTAATTTATCATCAGTAAATGCTAAAATTTTCAATAACATTATAATCCATCATATTAGACTTATTTCTTATATATGTTCTACATTGTAGGGTGTGTGCAATATTCAAGTTTTTGGTAGTTTTGGTACTTAATCTTTACGAAGGACTTGGATGATGTTATCTAACCCTCGATTTGTTTGTATTGTGTTTTCTTTCTGTATCCAAACTTTGATGATCTGGAATAAAAAATCATGTTTTTTTGATTGCAGGAAATTGAGGATGGTTGAGTTTTCTGATAGTTCTTGTTTTTAAATAGATTAAGCTTTGTATAAATAAATGTAGACTTTTTAATGCTGAAGCTAATGCATATAATAATTGTAAGTCCAAATCCAATTGGACTTCTTTCTAATCACACAATGCACTACAAGTTCTTTCGTTTTCAATTCTTTAGTTATGCTGCAAACACTTTGAAGTATACTTATAAATGGTTGGATGCAATAATCAGTTGTTAACTTATTATTAGTACATGTTATCATTTTCAATAACAATATGCTAGATATGTTCTACATTTTAGGTGTTCAAGATTTTGGAAGTTTCCGTACATAATCTTTACGAAGGACTTGGGTGATTTTATCTAATCCTTGATTTATTTGTTTTGTGTTTTTTTTAGTATATCCAAACTTTGATGATCTGGAATAAAAATCATATTCCTTTGATTGCAGGCAATTGAGGATGGTTGAGTTTTTCTGATAGTTCTTGTTTTTAAATAGATTAAGATTTCTATCAATAAATGTAAACTTCTTAATGCTGAAGCTAATGCATATAATAAATGAAATTCTAAATCCAATTGGACTTCTTTCTAATCACACAATGCGCTAGAAGGTCTTTCGTTTTCAATTCTTGAATTATGTTACAATCCCTTTGACATATATTTATAAATAGTTAGATATAATAATCAGCTGTTAATTTATAATCAGTAAATGTTATAATTTTCAATAACATTATAATCCATCATATTAGACTTATTTGTTATATATGTTCTACATTGTAGGGTGTGTGCAAGATTCAAGTTTTTGGAAGTTTTGGTACTTAATCTTTACGAAGGACTTGAGTGATGTTATCTAACCCTCGATTTGTTTGTTTTGTGTTTTCTTTTTATATCCAAACTTTGATGATCTGGAATAAAAATCATCTTCCTTTGATTGCAGGCAATTGAGAATGGTTGAGTTTTTCTGATAGTTCTTATTTTTAAATAGATTAAGCTTTCTATCAATAAATGTAGACATTTGAATGCTGAAGCTAATGCATATAATGAATGTAAGTCCAAATCCCATTGGACTTATTTCTAATCCCACAATGTGCTACAAGTTCTTTCGTTTTCAATTGTTGAGTTATGCTGCAAACACTTTGAATAAACGGCTGGATGCAATAATCAGTTGTTAACTTATCATCAATACATGTTATAATTTTCAATAACAATATCGTGTGTGCTAGATATGTTCTACATTTTAGGTGTGTGTAAGATTCAAGTTTTTGGTAGTTTCCGTACTAAATCATTACGTAGGACTTGGTGATGTTATCTAATCCTTGATTTATTTGTTTTGTGTTTTCTTTAGTATATCCAAACTTTTATGATCTGGAATAAAAATCATGTCCACGTATTCATCCTTTGATTGCAGGCAATTGAGGATGTTCGAGTTTTTCGAGCACTTTATATAATTGGTTCTGATTTGGTTAATCGAGTCGAGGTGAGCCGCGGAAATATTGGTGGATGCGACGAGCTCGAGCCGGTTATTGCGAGTAGTGGGTATAAGTAATTCCGATCCGCCCTCCGGATCGAGCCCGACCCAGTATTGACTGCGGCTTTTCGGGTCGGTTCGAGCGCCGCCGCCGCCTGCCTGCCTACCCTACCTCTCTCTTTCTCTCTCTCTCTGCTCGAAGAAGACTCGAAGGGACGGACGGATGCTGCACCCCAGTAGCTAGGGATGCTAGATCCTGCACACACAGCCCTGCGATCCTGCTGCGTCCCACTCGTGTCGCCGCCGTCAGACATGGATACTACTACCGCACAATCACTATAGAAATTAAAAGAGGGCAAAAAATGTAAAAGGTAGGAAACCGTCGACCGAACCAAATAAAAAAAGCAAAATAATTAAACAAATAAATAAAGGGAGAACGCGCGAATCGATCGGGGAACCGCAGTCTGAGGACCTTTTCATTCAGATCCTCGCGATCTCTGTTTTGGGGGGTAAAAAGTGGGCGTTCACTCGGCGCCTCGGCTTTGTTCATCATCATCATACTACAAATACTCCCGAAAAACGAGAACTACAACTAACACACACACAAACAGAGAAAAGAGAAAGTTAACGCAAACCGAAATACAAAGAAAGGAAATGAAAAGTTTTCGCAGTGAGGATTTTATTTTTTTGTTAAACCTGGTGCTGTGAGATCGTGTGTTGTTGCCTTGGATATAAAATTGAAACATATCGGATCGTGTTTGAAATTCAAGCGACATCAAATACATTCGGATGAAGGGGGGAAAAGCACCACCGGTATCGATATTGCACAGAACCCCCCCAGACTTCTGAGTGGTAAATATTTACTCGTCCCTATCAAGTGCCTCGTTTCATAGCCCGTTTACATATCGATTCCCATATTTAAAACAACAAAAAAAAAATAACAATTACAAAGAAGAAAAAAAAACTTAATTTAACATTTTCGTGATGTGGGAGGAAGGATAATAAAATAGATCGGAACGGTGAGTGGGTGGTAATATCGATGGTGCAGCGGGAAGGATCAATCAGGCGCTCATTTCCTGCCGCCGAGCGATCTCCGTCGATCTTTCAACTGAAGACGGAGGTGGCGGAGTGGATTATATCGCGATACACCAATTAAGCCTTATCGTTTTCACCCCTCCTCACATCATCCACCTTGTTGCAGGTTTATGAGCTATGGAGCTGCTGCTCGCATGGTTACTGTTAGCTGGTCTCTGGCCTCTGATCATCGCCAATCCCGATGCGAAACGGCTCTACGATGATCTCCTGTCCAACTACAACAGACTCATCCGCCCCGTCGGGAACAACTCCGATCGCCTCACCGTCAAAATGGGACTCAAACTATCGCAGCTCATCGATGTCGTAAGTCCTAAAAACATATTACATCCTCCTGAAACTGATCAACAAGACCTACGTTGTCATGTCACCCGAAGGGGGCGTAATCCTTGCCACAAAGGGGAGTTACCCTGACGCACCAAAACCTCCGTCCATAAGCTCACGACATTAACACTACCCAAAAAAGTTAAATATCATCAACAATACTTAAATACAAGACCAAATTAATGCTACATACTAAATATAAACTTTTCGATAAACAATCCTAACATCATCAAAAGGGGGCGTATTCCATCTAAACCTAACCTTGTACATGACAACAATATTTATATACTTCCCTTCAAAATTCATCCATATTCCATTTAATACTAACTTAATGTTTCTGAAAACTTAAATATTCAAAAACCCCTAATTAATGAAATACCAGATTTTATCTCATAATACTAAATAATTAATTCAATCTGTATACTGAATTCATCAAAGAAGTTTTGCAAAATCTGTTGTAGTTCAACAATATCATTTTTAAGTACTAAATTATAATTAATAAGTAAATCTAAGAAGTTCTTGTTTTTTATAAAAATTATTTATTTTCAGTCATTCATTTCAGTCATTATTATAAATAATTTGATGACATTTTAATATAAATTAAATTTACTTAATTATAATATTTCTGAGTATTTTAAACAAAAATTTGTTTCTATAGCCTGGAGCGTTTAAGACCGAATTGATTAAATTTGAATAAATGATTATATTAATTGATTAAATCAGTAAGTAAAGTTGGGGGCGGGGAGTTAACTTTATCATTTGATCTCTGAAAGCGAGAGAGTCAATATTGAAGAGAATGCTCTTTCAATTAACTTTAATTATCCATGAATTTTCATTTTAATATTTAATTTAATTTTTTAAAACTTGTGAAAATTTTCAATTAATTCCATAAAGTACATTTTCTGCTCAGATGATTTTCCATCAGTTTCTGAATCAATGAAGAAAATTTACGATTTTCTAATAAAAAAATTTACTTATAATGTAATAAATAGAAATAGAATGAAGTAAATTATTTGTTGTGAAAGTGTCTTATCTAAGAAATTAACGAAAATCCTTATTATATAACAAATTGATTTTTAGTTTAAAGTTGAAAATAATTGGATTTTACTTAATTTGTCAATGCACAACTACGTAAGTATATTGTGACAGTTCAATGTGACATGTGTGACAGTTCAATGTGACATGTGTGACAGTTCAATGTGACATGTGTGACAGTTCATTGTGACATGTGTGACAGTTCCATTGTAGTAGTTACATTTGACACAAATTTATGTGTCATGTCACGTTTAATGTGGATATACAGTAGAACCTTGCTTAACGAGTTTTATCCGGATTTTTACTCTTATAGTGAAATACACTTATATTGAAACATATTCAAATCCGGGACTTCTCTTCTCATCTTCACTCGTTATGCGAAACGTCGCTCGTTTTTTGTAATTCGTAATTGAACTAATTAGTGTATGTATCAATATTTAAAATTCATGAACTTCCGAAAGAACTAACATATTGTCACATCCGTTGAAGAGCATTGAAGTGTCGTATTATATGTAATATCAAAAATGCATCCGATACTTTTTTTTGTCAGCCGAATTGAAAATTTTACAATGTAAAACCGAAGTTCGGACACGAGGGGAATAAAATATGCGAAAACTTTCTCGACAGGATCGTAACTCTCCCCCAAATGTTCATAAATCCATAAAGAGGAGAGAAAAGCGACGAGACGAAGAAGAAAAGGGAAAATAAGAAAAAAAGCGACTTTTGATTGCACGCATACATAAAGTATTAAACGGGAAAAACGTTCTCATCATCAGTGCGAGGGGGGGGAAGTTCGAAAACTTAATAAAACCATCTCAAGAAAGGGACACAATTCAATTGAAGCTAAAAAACAAAGCTTTCCTCCCTCCTTGATCTAAATAATTACATCTTCCTTTTACTGCACATTTACGTAAATTCGCATCCAATTAAAAGCTGCTCCTTTTTCAAAGGAAAATTTAACAACGAAAGGAAAAAAAAATAAGGAAAAAAAAGGGATAATTGCTCGTATAAAATGCACATTAATCGTGTATCGCAAACTGCTTTTGACGTAGCAGCTTTTCGTTGCCCGTTTTACTTTTTTCCTCCGAAAAATCGGCCCCTTTCGTCGTCCGCGTCATCAAAAGAAAATCACTTATGTCACGTCGCTAACACGAATCGAATTGACTTGACTGCTTAAAGCTATTTCAACTTTGGGGCACCCTTTTTTTTCTCTACGCTTCGGCCGTGCAACTTTCCCCTTGTATTAAAAGGGTCTAGAGATGCGGACGTTTTCGAAGATGAAGAGCAGAATCCTTTTGGCTTTGAATCGGAAAATTGCAATTAAAATGTCCTGCGCTCAACTCGTGAAAGGCTGCAGCAAAAGCTCCCATTTTTTTGTCCAGGATACAAAACCGATATCCTGAAGGGAAAAATAAAAAATAGGAGAGAACGCGAATCATAAGAATCCTGGACACCCATTAATTACGTTCGGTAAATAAGGGAAGAGCGAGAGGCGTCGTTAATCCTTGCAGCGACACATCCAGCACGAAGATTAATTAATTAATTGATTAATTAAAGACTTTCCTTTCCCATCAAACTTATCCCATTTCGAAATCCTCTTTATAGACCAACAGACAACAACAGTATATTTTCATATAATAATAATAATAATTGTACAATACATTAACTTGAAATGCACAAATTGGATTTCCCGCTGCAATTATAACTTCGCATCCGAGATTTAATGTGGATTACTGCGGAGTGGGATGGGTTTCGTAAGAACGCTCGATTGCATTAAGTCCTTCATTAAAACTGTAATTCATTGTACAATGCGGGACGGGAAAATCCTGGATTCCTCTGATCCGCTCGTCGCTCGCCCGTAATCCAACACTAAACGCGTAATGTATGGAAATTGCACGTCGCAGACACTTTGTGCGACCGTTCGGTGGTTGGAGGACGAGGGTTTTTCAAATCCAAGTTCAAAGAATGGATGCGAACTGCGCCTTTGCATCCAGTTGGATATCTAATCCTGGCCAGAATACAAAACTGGATTGCGGAGAAGAATAAAAGAGGAAACGTGGACAAATTTCCTTATAACATAAGAAATTTATTTGTAACTTGTTTATTTGTAATTTCAATTTGAATTATTTTCCATTTCGACAAGTATAGCAAAGCTAATTTTCATAACTTACTTAAATACAAAGAATACAATCAAATTTTATTAAGATATTTCTGTAAACTACAATAAATTATCATATTTAACTAAAGAGTGGACAAATTGAACTTAAATTGCAACACAGTAGAAGCTGTTTTTGTGCGGTCCTTTTTTATGCGATTTTTTTTGTACGGTCCTTATCTACAGCACAAAAACAGATTTCATAGTATTTCAAAGTTAACAATTATGAAAAATTTGAAAAATTACACTAATTGTTTGCTTTTACTTTTATTTTTTGTATTATCTAATCAATTTATAAAAAAAAATAATAGTAAATTTTCAAAATCTTTAAACTAATTGTTCTATCAATTTATCCTCATAATTGTATATGATAATTTCAAATATATTTTAGAAAATGGTCAATATTTCTTATAATATTGGTGAAGTAAAAAGTTCTGAGCGTTTTGTCCCATACATGAAGGTTTGAAACGGAATAAGTACTCTCATTTTATCAACATTCTTGATGATTGCCTACCAATGCGTGTCTCATCTTCGATGTCCATATTACCAGAACTGAATCATTGGAACTAAGGCTTTTGCTGTTGCATTCGATACTGCTTTGGGACTATAAACAACACAATTTTTGTTTGGCCAACAGCTCCGCTTTTCCCCTTGCTGAAGAATGTATCGAATTTTCTCTTTTTTTACCTCTATTTTGGAGCGCTCTAACACCCAACTGGATTCACTAAACACAAAACTATCCAAGAACTTTTTATAAAGCGTTATGTCGCCTTTAAGTCGCAATATAAAAAGACAAGATGCAACGTATACATCGTGAGATATGGCTCACTAAAGCCATCCAACGAAAAGCGTTCAAAACTTTTTACTTTACCCAATAAATGTATAATCTTTTAAACAACAAAATTTACCTTGTTATCGTTGCAATCAATCTGTTGATACGATGGAGCAATTAAAATTGGTACGATGTGCTAAAACTAATGAACATTTAGCTTTTAAGCTTCTCTCCAGAAAGTTTACAGAGCAATGATTACACTAATAACACGTACAAGTGATTGTCCCCACTAACTGATACTTAAAGACTCAACCGAATTTCAATCCCACATGCGAGCAAATATGTTATATAATCAAGACATCTTTAATTTACATTTTAATTAATAATAATATGAGTTTTTAGAATAATAATAGAAAAATAATCATTTTTTTTTCTTTATTTTAATTAGCTTTCAAATATTTTTATTTTAATTATATTAAAAATATTGACGACGAAATGGAAAAATAGACTTTATTAATTCATAATGCATTCAATATTTGATTGTATTACATGAATATTATATAATTTGAACGATTTACAGTCATTTCTCACAAGTATTAATTGCAAGATAAATTGGTTATAATATATTATATATAAATTATTTATAGATCCATAAAAACTCATAATTCCAATATAAAACTGTAAAATAATGGAAATTAAATCACGTGCAGTGGAAATTGAAGCTTTGTGTTAAGTAAAGTTGAAAATGTAATTGATAAATGATGATTTTTATTTTGTTTAAATAATACAAAATGTAAATTGTAATTCGCGTTTGTGTAAAAGATAACAAGTCGGAACGATCGCAACGCACAAATTTAATCTCGAAGTTTAAATTACTCTTACAGTCAGACATACTTAATGTAACCGCATCTACACCGAAACGCGTTTATTATTTCATAATTGTAATGCAATTTCATTACACAACAAAGATTACAACGAAACTTTCTGAACTTAATTTCGAAACATTTCTTATTCATTATTCAGAAATTGAAAGAAAAAAAACACAACTTTAATAAAAATGAAATACTATACTTAGTAAAGTATAAGTGTAATCTCGAATTTGAAATGTTAAAACGGGAATGTATGTGGGGAAATGTAAAAATATAAGAAAATGTTGTAACAGTTGAGTTAGTACATATTTGGAGCGAGTAAATAAATCGCAAAGCCATCATATTTCTTGCGTTCGAAGAAGCAGAAGGAATCGATCAAAGGCGGACCTGAAATTGGATAAACTTGGCGAATGGAAGTAAATGTAATCAGTTAATATCGGATGTGAGAAATCTGTAAAATTTTCTTTCTGTTTTTTCTACACAAAAGACAAAAATATTGACCGAAATCTTTCTACCTAATTTTTATTTTGTTACTAATTTTTATTGCAATTTTTCAATCGTGTTTATAACTAATGAAAGTTTAACAAATGTTAGAAAATCATTTAATGTGAATTGTTTCTGTGATTGTGAGAAACTTTGGTTGGAAAAGTTGTTGGTACTTTTTTGTGATGGAAACGTTGCAGAATTGTTAAGATTTAACGAGAAATTTGTAAATGTTCTTTCTGCGTCCAACAACAACAAAATTATTGAAAAATTTTATTGAATTTTTCTTTCAATTTAAGCAATCAGTTATGTTTATAATTAATTAGAGTTTAACAAATTTTAAAGATGTTTAGAAAATCAATTATTGTGAATAGATTCTTTGATTGTGAGAAACATTGGTTTGTGAGAAATTCGATGATATTGTTAGAACTGTCTTGTGAAGTCATGGAAATCGTTGCAGAATTGTTAAGATTTACCGAGAAAGTTGTAAATGTTCTTTCTTCATACAAAAACAAAAAAAATATTATTCAATTTAATCAATTAGTTATGTTTATAATTAATTAAAGTTTAACAAATGTTAAAGATGTTTAGAAAATCAATTATTGTGAATAGGTTCTTTGATTGTGATAAACATTGGTTTGTGAGAAACTCGATGATATTGTTGGAACTGTCTTGTGAAGTGATGGAAATCGTTGCAGAATTGTTAAGATTTAACGAGGAAGTTGTAAATCTTCTTTCTTCCTCCAAAAACAAAAAAAATATTCAATTTAATCAATTAGTTATGTTTATAATTAATTAGACTTTAACAAATGTTAAAGATGTTTAGAAAATCAATGATTGTGAATAGGTTCTTTGATTGTGAGAAACTCGATGATATTGTTGGAACTTTCTTGTGAAGTGCTGGAAAGTGTTAAGACTTAACGGGAAGTTGGAATCCGCTTAGAAACTCTCCGGAATTGGCTATTATAATGAAAAAGGATTTAAAGTAAACTAGTTTCAAGGGGGGAAAACGAATAAGTTTAAATTTTCAAATTATTCGTTAAGATAATGCGGGTGGGATGCGGATTAAATGCTATAAAGGAATAAAGTTGTTTGTTTGTTTTGGGGGTGGTAGAGATGGAAGAAAAATCGATGCGCGTCAGGACTCTTTATTATTGTGCTGTTTAATTAGTCCTTGTCGAGGAAGAGGAGCGCTCTTATTTTCCTTGACTTGTGAAAACTTTTGTGTCCCAGAATGCAGAAGGCGTCTAGACATCATCGTGATTAATGATTTGCAACAAAAATTCCTTTACAATCCATTTGCAAATTAGAAGAACAAACAAAAAAAAAGGAAATAAGAATGATGATTAATGATTTAAAGCTGATTTAAAACTATTGCTATGTAAATGTTGAAAAGACGAAAAGAAATAAGATGAATGAAATGTTTGATTGAAATAGATAGAGATGATGGATGGATTACGTTTAATGAATTGAATTCCAAGTAAGAAGGAGAATCAGCTGCTTCTGTTTAATAATAAAAGCAAATACTGTTGAGGGTTGTATTCCGGGAAAAAATGAGAGGTTGAAGGTGGATATATATTTGGGCCGCAATAAATATTCATCTTTGCGTTATCTCCGCAAACACGCTCAACAATGGCACTGCAGAAAAGTTTAAATTGGTTCACCAATTTACATGGGCTCCAACATCTTCCAATATCCCAGGCATCCATGAACCTACCTCCTCCCCTCTTGCATAACTCGCAAAACAATCTCACGGTAAAAGCTTTTCGGAATAGTTTCTGCTTTCGGTGCAATCCCCCGACAGACCCTCAGGGTCCACGCGTCGGGGTGGATTTTGTAAATCGATTAGACCCTTAATTATTTTATTTTTGGTTTCTTTTGGTGGAATAAAAAAAACGAAAATAAAACGTGGAAGAGAGAGAGAAGAAGGCGCAGTTTGTTGTGTATGTCGTAATTGGGGTGAAAGCTGGAATAATTAAAATGGAAATTCGCCAGAATTAATGGTCCTTAAACTATTTGAGGGCCGCGCAAATTATGCATCCGATGACCGTAACTGAAACCCTCGGGCTAACCGCGCCTCCCAACCCAACACCAAGAACATCCTTTTCGTGAGATTATGAAAATACCCGATGATTACACAATCGATAATTTTCGTTCTCGTTTTATGTTTGCAGAATCTGAAAAGTCAAATTATGACGACGAACGTGTGGGTGGAACAGGTGAGTAAAGCGAAATTATGCATCCAAAATGTCTTATTTTTGTTGTTGATCTTAAGGAGTGGAACGACTATAAATTGAAATGGAATCCGGACGATTATGGAGGAGTGGAAACGCTGCACGTTCCTTCCGAACACATCTGGCTACCGGACATTGTCCTTTACAACAAGTAAATTGGATATCCGTTAATCTTTTGGATGGGTTTAATTGATTTCGTTCGTTCGTTTAGCGCCGACGGGAATTACGAGGTGACCATCATGACCAAAGCCATCCTGCATCACACTGGAAAGGTCGTCTGGAAGCCTCCCGCCATCTACAAATCCTTCTGCGAGATCGACGTCGAGTACTTCCCATTCGACGAGCAGACGTGCTTCATGAAGTTCGGATCCTGGACGTACGATGGTTACATGGTAAGGTTTCCTTATAAACATTTTACATTTAATTCAAACACCAAATCCATTTTTTTCAATCCTTACTAGGAAATTTAACACTTTTCAAGATTTTGAATCAAAAAACTCTGTGGTATAATTTTCCATTGCTTTTTCTTTCCTGAAAATGGGAAATGCTGTTGAGACCTATTTGGGTACACATCTACTACACTTAACTAAATGAAAACAATAACAATTTCAACTTAATTTGCAAGATTTTGAATAAAAAACAGGAAATATTAATCAAATATTATTAATATCTGATAGTTGAATGACTGCTGAAAACTCTATGGTATAATTTTTCATTGATTTTTCTTTCCTGAAAATGGGAAAAGGATTGAGACCTATTTGAGTACACATCTACTACACTTAACTAAATGAAAACAATAACAATTTCAATTTACTTTACAAGATTTTGAATAAAAAACAGGAAATATTAATCATAATATTATTAATATCTGATAGTTTAATGACTGCTGAAAACTCTGTGTATAAGTTTCCATTGATTTTTCTTTCCTGAAAATGGAAAATGGATAAAAACAATAA